AAGGCATCAATTAGAAATTACCGGTGATGTAATTTCTTGCACGAAAACACCCGACGATGTTAAGGCTATATTACGTGCTGACATGGTTGATAAAGAGAGAATTAAGAAAGGAATACAAGAGATTTCAGTGCAATTGGATGTGGATGATACAATTGATATTGAGGAAATACGTAGAATTCGAACCGGAAAGAGGATTGCGGAGATTGAGAGCTCTTCAATTGCTTTCAAGAAGACTAAAGGATCGTTGGATTTGGTGTATAAGAAGAGTAAGGACACAAGCATCAACGATGCGTGTGATAAAGAAGCGAGGGCAAGAACCATTCAATATATTGGTCGCTTTTTTTATACGTGTGAGGTTGCTTTTAACGTAGCACATGCAAGAGCTTTTAAGTTGATGTTGGAAGCCGTTGGAAGTTATGGTCCTCATTTGAAACCGCCAAGTTATCATGAACTCAGGGTTCCAATCCTTCAGAAAGAATTGGAATATACAACAGATTTGTTGAAAAACCAAGAGGTGCAAAGGAATAGATATGGATGTTCAATTATGTCGGATGGTTGGACAGATAGAAAAGGTAGAACATTGATTAATTTCTTGGTCAATTGTCCGGCGGGGACCATGTTTGTGAGAAGTGTTGATGCATCAGACTATGCCAAGACGGGGGAAAAGCTAGCCGAATTGTTGGACACTTTTATTGAGGAAATGGGTGAAAAAAATGTTGTTCAATTGATTACCGACAATGGAAGTAATTATGTAGCGGCGGGTAAAATATTGTGTTTGAAGAGGCCTCACATGTTTTGGACTCCATGTGCTGCCCATTGTATAGACCTTATGTTAGAAGACATAGGCAAAATTCCAAAGGTTAAAAAGGTTATACAAAAAGGGGTTAAGGTTGTGGGCTACATTTATAACCATACTTTTGCTTTAAATCTAATGAGAAAGACTACCGGCAATGTTGAATTGGTTAGACAAGGAGTGACAAGGTTTGCTACCCATTTCCTGTCTACAAAGGATGCAAGAACTAAAAGGAAAGTTTAGAGAGATGTTTCTTTGTGAAGAATGGACGACTTCCAAGTGTGCCAAAGATGCCAAAGGACAAAGGGCAGCCACTACTATACTTACGGCTTCATTTTGGAATGATGTTCTCTACACTCTTAAGTGCATGGCGTCTCTTGTAGATGTGCTAAGAATGGTTGATAATGAAAAGAAACCCGCAATGGGATACATATATGCCGCAATGGGAGTAGCGAAAGAATCAATTGAGAAAGCTTTTAGTTCAAATTCAAGCAAGTACAAAGCTGTATTTGAAATCATTGATAAAAGATGGGAGTGTCAACTTCATCATCCGCTACATTCTGCAGGTCACTATCTCAATCCAGAATATTATTATTCTAAACCAGAAATTGAGAAAAATGGTAGATTGGTGAGAGGCCTCCGTAAGTGCATTGAGACACTTAGTGAAAGTTATGAAGTGGAAGATTTGATTTCAGAACAATTGTCACAATACATGGGTGCTACGGGTCTCTTTGGTATAAAAGCGGCAATTAGACAAAGATCGACATTAGCTCCAGGTAAGATGAAATAATTTTTTGCTAAATTACATGTGATACACTTTGTGTTATGTATATGGAATGAGTTTTTACAATTACTTGCAGCCGAGTGGTGAAAGTCTTATGGAGCCGAAACTCCGGAGTTGCAATTGTTGGTTGTTAAAGTGTTGAGTTTGAGTTGCAGTGCTTCCGGATGTGAGCGTAATTGGAGCATCTTTGAGCATGTGAGTATTAATTTTTTACTAGGATTTTAAAGTATCTTACATGCAAGTATTATTAAATTAATACTTCAAATTATTGTATTTTAGATTCATTCTAAGAAGAGAAATAAATTGGAACATCAAAGATTGCAAGACTTGGTGTTTATCAAGTATAATCAAGCTTTGGTAGAGAGGTTTGAAATTCGGAATAAAATTGATCCTGTGGAATTTAATGAAATTAATTTCCACACCGAATGGTTGGTGGGAGAGATGGAAAAGGTAGGAGATGATGGTGAAGACTTGGTTCATCCAAATGATGATTTAACTTGGAGTCAAGTTGCCGATGCTAGTGGGGCTAATGAGCCTATAATCTACACTAGGAGGACAACAAGGCAAAATGAAATTGGAAGTACTTCTCAAGCAACAACGGCACCAAGAGCAACAATGGCAACTAGAGCACCAATGGAACAACAAGTGATGGAAGATGTTGAAGATGAAGAATTGGAGGAAGATTTTGAAGAAGTTGAAGATGAAGATGAAGAAATAGAGGAATATATTGAAGAAGAAGATGAAGAGGAAGAGAAATTTTTTGATGATGCTATATGATTTCTATGTTTGACATTTGAACCTTTATGTTTGAATCTTTATGTTTTGAGTCTTGATTAAGCATTGTTCTTTGTTTGACATTTGAACCTTTATGTTTTGAATCTTTATGTTTTGAGTCTTGATTAAGCATTGTTCTTTGTTTGACATTAGATTTTATAAATATTTTATGAGTGTTGTGGAATTAATTTAGTATTGCATGACATATATTTTATAACATATGTTTTATAGATTATTATATAATTATTAGTATACAAAAAGTTGTCCCGCTATCCGGAATCCCGCTATTCCCGCTTTTCTCATTCCCTGGAGTCGGCCACTCCGCTCCGCTATCCGGGATTAACAACTCTGTTGAAAATATGGTTTTGGCACCAATATGGTGTGACCCAAATGATAGATATTTAGATTATTTTTTTTCTTTCTCGAACTTGAAGTGTGTTGAATAAGGCCAATGATAATTCTCTGTTCTCATTCATCTCAATCAAGAAAAAAAATTTGTACTCCTCAAGAAAAGGAAAAAAGAAACACTAGTACCAGACACTTGCAAGTTCTAGCACACAGACCAAAATATGTTAATAGGTCTTAAGTTACACTCAAAGAATATATGCCAAAACCCAAAACCAACCTTATATCAGAAGCAAAAGTAGTTCATAACCTCTTATATAAACCTCGGATAACAACATAGTCCTAATCTGTTCATAACATAGTCTGTTTTTCTGAGATATAAGAAACATTTACATGGGGTGGTTGTTTTCCAAGAAGAGGAATGCAGAATGGAAGCATGGATACACAGAGCACAACATGGCACCTGCTTCTCCCTCACCAACTCTTCATTTGTTTGTGATATTTGGCATTGTTATTAGCTTGCTGTGGCTCTCCCATTACAAACTTATTTAGATATGTAACAATCCTTACTCATTTTTCTGTATGTCACTGTCTGAAAGTTTACTAAAAAATGCATTATAGTACTTCTTTTAACTATTTGTGCTGGATATGGCATGTAAAAATGTTTAGTTTGATTTTTTGAGTTTATAAGAATAATAGTAAGACTTGTAAGAATAATCAAACCTTTAATAGAAACTCCATGATTTCATAACAAAGAGACAAGCATGTTCATGACTATAGGATATGTATCACGTATTCAGATTTCCTAGTTAATAGTTAATAGAAACCAAAAACATAAAGGCTAAAAAATAGTTAATAGAAACCAAAAACATAAAGGCTAAAACCAAACCAACCTATAGAAATTACAAAAACAAATCAATAAAACCAACCATCAAGAAAAGAAGATTGAAACTGCACCAAGAGCAACAAAACAACAATCAAAGCAGCCACACCCCATGGAGAGCTTCCTTCTGATGGACTTTGGTAGGTTGTCCTGCGCCTGCCCCATATAGAAGAGCCAGGAAACCATTCTGAATCATCCATTGAAGACAACAAACGAACTATAAATATAAGAACCACTGGTGTAGCAAATAGAACCCAACCCAATTGTTCTTGAGCATTTTCAACAGCTTCTTCATAAGAAAAGTACCATGAACTACCAAGGAAGATGAAGATCACTGCTAAGATTAACAGAACAGGATATGGTAGTGGATTCAGAGTGAATCCATCCAAAACAGAGGAATCTCTGTTTCCTTCATAAGCCATTGAGTTTTATGATTTTCTTTAAGAAACCAGTGATATATAGTAAGTCAGAGAATTAGAGATAGTGTTGTGTTGGTAGGTAGAAAATTCAAAAAGAGGTTTCAGGATATTTCTTTCCTTAAAAGGAGTGAATGGTGTTGTAGGAGGACATAATATATATTAGCAAGATAATGTTGTTTATCTTTTCAAGCTATAATTAAACATTGATTATGACCTTTAATGATACACGACTTTTAATATAAACAGTACTAGTTGTATAAACATGTTTGTTACTGCCAATAATTACATGTACATAATACATTACAATTAGTACTGAATAAAAGCATACGGAGTATTAAAAGTTTGATTTTCTTTGATGTCACTGTGGCCCATTTCCTACTCAGATGATTTGTATTGCACCTACTACAGTAGGCTTTAGAAAAGAAAAAGTGATAACTTCCAACACAAGAACACTATTTACATTTCTAACGCAACATGGGTGTCTCTTTCAGCCGACTCATCTAAGTGCTTTCCTACCACTGCTGCAAGAATTTAACTTTTGCAAGTAATGTAGCATCCACTTAAATGCCGACATCATTTTAGACTGGTTCACATAGCTATCATGTTGTGATCATGTGTGGTATATGAGGCACTTTAAGATATGCTGGGTGGTGATTATTGATTGAACCATTACCTACTAATAAAATAAATTTATTTTTCCCTTTTTTCCTACTTCTTTTTACTCTCTCTCATTGAATACAAGAACCAATGTATTCCCCCGGAAAAACCTGTCTTGTAACTTGTTTAACACCAAAAAGTGAAGACACACACATATAAAATATAACACGGAGTATATATTATTATAACAAAATAATACTATACTGATAAAGAAGAAAACTATAGTTCATATGAAACAATGGAACAGACTCATAAATTACAAGCATAGATGAAGGGGATGATAGAACATAATTACAATTCAACCATCAACCATCAACCACCACCAAGCTCTTTGGCAAACACTGCCTACCAGTAACAGTAGCAGGCATGGGTGCAGCGACAGTATGTTGGCTTGACACAAACCCTTTTTCTAGAACTTCCCAACCATGACACCAATAGCAGGATCAGAATTACAATTATTGGTAGTACAAAAGGTGAGGAACCACTCTCTTCTTCAGCTTCTTCCTCTTGTTCACCAGAGAAGAGCTTTGGTATAGCCAAGAGAATCAACGCCACAGCCAAGATCAAAACAACATTTGAAGTATGAGCATCGTTAGCCCTGGGTTTACAATAGTAGTAACCCATCAATTGATTTGAACAAAAGCCTCAGAAAATGGGAAGAAAGAGTTTATAGAAGGGATTCACAGAAAACGGGAAGAAAGAGTTTATAGAAGGGATTCACGATGATGAATTTGGAGCATACAATGATGACAAGGGAATTACCCCAACCATATCAACATGGAATTTTATAAAAAGAAGGTGGAATCTATACAAGAACGGAAAATTATTCATAACATTATTGGCCACCACACAACTTTCTGGTAGTTGTTCATTTAATATTATCTTTTTAGTTAAGCTATCACATTCCGTGAGAAAAAAGATAATATTATCACACATACACAACGGTGGGGTCAATTGTTGCATTTATAGAAGATTTGACTTAAGGCAGCGTTTGCCGTTTGGTATCAAGTGTGGGATTCCGATACTCCAATTTTAACATATATAATTATAGTGCAGATTATCATTTGAACGATTTATTTACATTAGCTAACCGAAAGGTAAATCCAAATTCCTGACTCACTATTTATCCTGTGAAAATGACTTTTGCGGAGTTTAGAAGTTTAATGTCTTATCACTGAATATATAGGAAAAACAACAAAAATATTCTAATGTCAGAGCTCATTCCAGTCCAAAAACAGTTGGGACTAAGATCAACTATTGGATGTTAAATGTTACATCATATTTGGAAGCATGTGGCCTACAAGAAATCAGCTATTGATACACCTCATTGCCTAATACTCAAATGCGGCAACAGATATCACAAACTCCAAGCAAAGTTAACTAATTTGTGTATATTTGAATTTCTATTGTTGCAGAAATGATCGTACAAGTACCATTGTCACAACTTTCTATTAGCCAACCATAAAAATTGGACAATTTAGTTAAAGCAATCTTCAAACTGCGATTGAAAAATTACAAAAATCAGTTAAACAATTATCTATGACAGTGTTGTGTTGACTGTTGAACTATTACAGCTGAACCTAGTGACATCAATGGCGCTAGAAATTTCCTTGGTATAACGTGTCTTCCACAACGTAATAGATGGGGACTTTGTAAAATGGCCACCCGGAATGTTGTAAACCTAGTTTTGTCACAACATGCAAAATTGACAAACACGGTTCCCCACAAGAACAAAATTGGCTTTCCGTAAATATTAAGTTATCAATCTCAGTGGAAAGCGTTCTGTGTGGTAATAAAACGAGGGCACAAAAGTTTACCATCAACAAAGTTTCAAGGTCACACTTTTCCTTCATATTTAAAATTGAGTCTGTAATCATGTTGAAGAGTTGCCAAGGTACTTCTACAAGGTCCCTCTACAAAATGGAAGAAAAAAATTGAATTTAGATTCTTTTAATTGCTTTTCTAGAATTTGATTAAATCAAGGTTCACATACCTCCAAAAAAAGTGTGAAGATATTGAAGATCATCAACGGAGCAGGCATCTATCAAAGCATAGACACCGGGTCGTAAAGCTTCATCTACTTCTCTGCAAATAATGGTGCGAATAATTAGTATTTGCTAATGGTAAAACTTTATACACATTTCTAAAGAAGTTAGCCACAGCCTACCAAATTTCATCTCTATGGATACTTTTTTTATTGTTATTCATTTCAAAATATGGGCAACAGAAATTTAAATTCATAGATTAATATCAGTATTTGATAAACTCTGATATGACAAAGTTGAGTGAAAGTCGAGGAGAAAAACAGGGTATCTGAGATATAGAAAAATGTAAAAAGAAATGAGTAAACAACAAAAATAATAAACAACCTTCTGATACCACTTCTTTTGGGACCATATCCTGAATAAACCGATATATAGTTGGATAAAAATAAACAACATTGCCGACCAAATATATCTTTTTGCTGTTTTATCTGCATCATAATCATAGAAACAAACTGGGTAAGCAATCAAATATAAGAAACAAATACATGATTTGTTAAATAAAGACTGGGCCTTTTTGGAGGTTTTCCGCAATTTGCTAAACCAAGAAGGTAAACAAACACATCATCCATTTAAATAAAAAAACAAAGCAGAACTGAGAGAGAAAATGACTATGGAAAACAAGTACTAGCTGGTGAAGTAATATGCCATATTGATTTTAAGAAGAAGAATACAGACGTAGGAACTACAACTGCCTGTTACAAGCAACATCTAGACAGTGTTTCGAGTCAGCAAGCCGAAATAGGCAGCTCCAAGTCCCTCACATGACCACTTACTAGACGGTGTTAATTTTGCTATTAGTATAAAAATAGGCAAGAGTATCACATGGACTGTTTGAAATTTGACCCACTTCAGATACCACTTGCCTCTGTCCTTTGTCAAAATTAACATCAACAAAAGCAACATAAAAGAAATTTATGCTCTTTATGCATAAAATAAGCTTTGGTCTTTGAAAAGGCAGGACAGCGAGAGTATTTGAGTTGAGCCGAGGAAAATTATTAAATGGAATGCAAAATATGTTAATGATGCATTCATGTAAGCTGTTCAGAAGGTATAGCCACACTAATATGGACATACATACCTCTTCATATATTCTTCGAAGAAAACAAGCACATTTCACCCCCTCTTCTACTTCCCACATAAACCAACCTTCACTCACCAGTGATTTGTTGTTCTCTAAAACTGTCTCCAAGCAATTAAGAAGAACAGCGACAGAGGCTTCAAGATGGGCAACACACTGTTTGCACTCACTGGAGAGATTATAAACAATATCATGCTGAGTCTAAATGTTGGGATTACAATAATAAGGCAGTGGATTGCACAAAGTTGTTATTAACTTATTAAGTACATTACTACATCAAATAATAATACCATCACATATTTGATATTTATTGTACTTTGACCACAGTGAGTCAGAAGCAACAAAAATCAAACATACCTTGGACGATGCCTTATAATGGTACACAATAGTTGACAACAGGCAACAAACAGATTAATCGTGAACTGGTGATCTACATGACAGAAATTCACTTCATCTGCCGAATGAGAATTTTGCTCTTCCGAGACCATAAATGAATCTGAAGGACGAGAAGCTTTAGAAATTCTATGTTGATGGAAATTCTGAAAGAGTGCAGCAGGGATATGTAACATGTGACCCACATGCCACACATCCATTGAGAAAAGACCATGTTTCCTTGAAATTGTAGTTAGCACTTCAACACACATGAGAATGGCTGACCCAGGATCAGGAGTACTACTGGCAACTGTTTTACATCTCAAGTTAACATAAAATATATGTGGGCCTTGTAAATGCACAATAATGTTGAAAACAGCAGATACTAAGCTCTGACAGTGTCTTTTGATCAGCTTCAAGCTTTTCCGACCTTGAAAACAGGAAGAGAAAAAAAGGTCATAGAATAACAAAAGAAAGATATGCATTTTCCCTGACCATATTTTGTACCGATCAAACATGCAATATATATTGATAGAATAGAAGCAATCAATAAAATGCATCAATGTCAATCTGATAATCTAGGTATTTTAATTAAGGATTATAAATAGGGAATGCAGTAGCATAATATGTAAGCTAAAGACAATGTTAGGATTCCCAGAAAGTGATTATAGACAACGTATGAGTGAGAACTTAGGGTAAATTAGCAATACAAGGGAATACATGAAAGAACTGAGTCCTGACAGTTCAATTTTAGAGAACAGAAACGGTATAATAAATAATAATATTCCAGTGTGTTTGTATAACATGTACTTATATCAAAAGTTAGATTTATGATAGGATATTATAATATCATACGTTTGATTTATGATAGGATATTATAATGCATGTGATGTGTGAAGCGACACATTTGGTGGAAAATGTTTTGGTTATCATTGTTGTTTGTATACAATATTCACTACACTGTCATCAGCAAGCTATTTTTTCCTGCTAATTCTACATCTCCATCAGCATGTGAAGCATGATTATTCAACAATCAACAAATGACTTTCATAACCCAAAGAGTGTGCAGTGCCGAATCCTTTTTGAATAAAAAATATAGTAAAATAAAACTATGAAAAAAAATCATTTAATATTATTTACTGAAGTGATATTAAAGGGATGTAGTTTGCAAACGGTAATTAGACAATGAAATGAAGACTTTATTCGCAAGCCATAGTATGTGCCCTAAGCAAATGTTTTTAATACCTGAAACAAATTCGAGAATCATGTCCAAGCAATCAATGCCAGCTGCCACAAGTGTTGAAATTTCACCCCCATCTTTATCTGTTTTTATGCCATAGATTATAGTGCATCCTTCTTGTACTCCAACTAGAACTCTCTCAATGGCCTGTATTGTAGACAAAAGATGCAACTCCGACTGCCCCTCTATAAATGCTTTGAATGACACCCGCAGCCTAGTTTTCAATTCATTCAAGCAAAAGTCGTGCATTTCATTAGAAGAGCAAGCTTCAAATTGTCCTTTATGCAGTGTCTTTGTGCTTGACTGTCTTTCGTGCAAGGTTAGTTTTGCCCTTTTTCCTTGCAACAATATGGACTTGCCTATTGCCCTCATGTGAATTTGTACCAATTTTGTATAAACTTTACTCAATGAGGTAGGATCTGTGAAAGGAAAATAACTTGCTAATTCTCTCAGATAGCTGAGAGCACCGTCTAACAAAAGAAAAGCAGATTGTTGTGGGACCCCAACCATCTCTGTAAATTCTAATAACAATACTTGTGAGATTTCAATAAATGCAGGCACACAACCTGATGGCAATGGTGAATCACCCATCTGCAAATTTAGCCTCAAAAGAGACGACGCAGCTATTAACAGTTGTCTAAGTAAAAAAGCTACTTCAGGATTATCACCTTTTACCAAGCTTTGTAACAAAGGTTTATTCAAACTCAGTGGCTCAGGGGAATCATCCCTAGCCAAAACACTGGCAACAAAATTTACACTTTCGGGAGTTGACATTATTTCAACTTCACTGCCACTTTTGGAGACATTATCAGTTGCTGATGAAGTGGAGCAAGTAGCTTTCGTTTTAGATTCTTTTTGCATTCCAGCTGAGCCATTTGCCTTAGAAACTGAGCATTCAGATAACAAATACTTCGTACCAGAGAAAGATAAGTCGAAGGCTGGCTTCTCAAAATTCTGGGTATCATGCAAATTTACGGAGAGTTGATTATTCTTACCGAGCAAGTTGTCTATGAAAAACTTAACAACTTCTTCAAAAGAAAATATACAACTTTTTAGTTCAGAGACATGTTCACTTTTCCACATCAACACTTTTTCTTTGTAACCACTATCTTTAGCATTAGTTTGACCCAGGGCAGATGTTAAGGCCCACAAAACCCCACTGAAGCACGAAACTTCCGAAGACAATCTATTCAAGTTTTCACAAGTAAGACCATGTCCCTTTTGAGATGCAAGCAAATTTTGCATCTGCTCTTTCAAATTCTGAGCCATTAAGGTTAAACACTTCAATGGCTCAAGCTTGGAAGAATCTACATACTGCGAAGATGAAAGCAAATGATTCTCTGTATGATTAATTTTTTGATCAGAGATCTCTTCACAAGGTATCTCTGCTTCTTTATCAAAACAAAAAGCGTGGATATATTGATGTTTTCCAATGCCCAACAAGGCATATGAAGTGTGATCCATTAAAGAAAACATCAGAGATTTAAATAGAATATTTTCTGCTGAGAATACCTCTTGAAATCCAACAATCATAGTTAATGACTTTGAAAACCACAAAACAGGATACGAACTTTCTGAAATAACCGAGTTTGGTGTGGAACGGGTGGTGTCTGTCTTCTCACTTAAACCCATTAATATATATCTTAAGGCCTTCCGGCACGAGACAAATAACCTCAAATACTCACAATAATAGTCCCGGTACACTGTGCTTTGAAAATATATCAAGGCATTTACAAGAAGCCTGCAAAAGATTATGCAGATAGAGATTGAGAATTAATTATGTAAGCGTTTCACAAATATGCTCGAGAGAAATCATCGGCACAAACAATTAAATGTGTCTAAGACATCTTTAACAAAGGTTCGCAACTATTTGGATTTCCTTCTCATCAGCAAGGTGCATAATAAATAAATTTGAAAAATTAGTTGCAGAGATAGTTTTGCATTTTCAGCAAATTAATTCCTTATTTTTGAAGATAAAACACAGAACAAAAGTATGGATGCATTGATTTTATGTCTTATTGGCAAAGTAAAGTTGTCAAAAATGATAATTGGTCTAGTTTTTATGATATATTGGATTCAAAGCAACTGATCAAATTATGATAGGATAGGATTATGTTTATAGTGTGAAAAATCCAATTTACTATCTCAGCAAAAATCAGAAAGTTGTGGCATACTGGCATATTTGCATTAGTTTTATCTTTTTTATTCATACTCTCTTATAATCAATATCTTTGTTTTAGGAGCTATCTTATCCTCGGCACTAATTGAACAAAGTAAAGTTGTCAAAAATGATAATTGATCTAGTTTTTATGAGATGTTGGATTCAAAGCAACTGATCAAATTATGCATAGGATAGGGTTATGTTTATAGTGTGAAAAATCCAATTTACTATCTCAGCAAAAATCAGAAAGTTGTGGCGTACTGGCATATTTGCATTAGTTTTATCTTTTTTATTCATACTCTCTTATAATCAATATCTTTGTTTTGGGAGCTATCTTATCCTCAGCACTAATTGAACTTTTTACCCTGTAATGCAATTTGTTCTTTTATTTACACACACAAAAGACAATAAGGTTGTATTTAGCACATAGATGAATGTACCTTTCAAGGTTGAAAATACAAGATGCAATGTGTGAAACTGATCCTGTATTGACATCTGACATCAAAGTTAAGAGATTAAGCAAATGGTGGCAATCTATGAAACTCTTGATGGTAAGAGGGGAGGAATTTTCTCTGCTGCTGATATCTGCATTAAGCTTATCGCATGAATGAGCGGCCGGCATTTTAACAGCAGAACAATCAACTGGAACCTCTTTTGAGTTGTCGAGGCCCCTTAAAAACTCAATCCAGTTAGGCACTGACCCAAGCTCGACAGCAGTACATGTGGTATTACTAAACAGTGGTAATACAGATTTCTCTAAAGCACTGCAAAAGATCGTGGCTAGATTCCTGTGGGCAAACTAAAACAACAAAAGCAAATGAATACCTATGGATATAGTCTTTTTCTTACTCAAAATACTGCATGAAATGAAAGCATCAATTAACAAACAAACTCAAGTTTACAGAAACCAGAACTAAAGCTGAAACAAACACTGGCAAAGATTAATATGTAATTCTTTACTAGATAACACAAGTGTCTCTGCGACAAAAAAAAAAAAAACTGCATAACCAAAGCAAATTACCTTTAGCTCATACAAAACTGAATCACTTAGAAGGTCTGATGATATATGCGGCAAAGTGACTCTCTTGAGTAGCTTACAATTATCTTGCGTGGCTGGCTCTTGAAAACTGCTTGATACACAATGAAGGGAAGTTTGAAGTAAATGCGAGAAGAATTTTTTCAACTGCTTCTTGGAACCATGATTTCCCCAAATATCAACATTTTTGCAGAGATTTGACCAAATGGCTATTGGCAATGAATTTTTGTTAGCAACATAAATTCCCTGATTCCATTTGTTGATTTGAGGAGCCAAAGAAACTAAATCCTCACTCTTAACATCATCAGAAACAAAGATAGGGGATTGATACACACACGATATGTTTTCCATAATAAAATTAGTAAGTCCAGCAGCCTCTTCCTTCAGGGCCTTGATTCGTGATCTATAAAGCTTATTTTGCAAATACTTCAACAATACAATGTGCCTATTCAAGTCAACAAGCCTCTGAAGAGCCATAGACTGAAAGATATAAACCAAAGGGGAGGAATCATTGAAGTCATACTTTAGATAGAAGTCTGAAATTAATTGCATAACAACAAGGAGGGAGGCAGAAGGCTGGGCAATCCACGAGAAGAAACCAATGTCGGTCTCATCAGTCCTCTCCATCAACTCAAAGGCAGAATATGCTGAGTAATCCCCCATCTCGGCTGACATTTTTTTTGATATACTAGGAGGCGCAAGGCTGATTGCTTGCCTAAGCAAGCTTCGGCTGGACAAAAACAATTGCAAAAAGAGCACAAAGACCCATTGACTGGACCTGCCAAATTTCTTCAAAACTTTGTCCTTTCCAACAGCTCGATCAGGAGTTTCTCCTAATATAGATGAAAAAAACTTGGAAATAGTATCTGGTTGTTGTACAACTAGAATACTCAAGTAGGGGCGCAATAATGACATAAGTTCTTTAACAGCAACTCCAACAAGATTGCTATTGCCTTCAGTTATAGTGGCTGAATCAAGCACTAAAGAATACAGTCTAGAGAGCCCTCTACCCAAGAGTTCCGCATGCAGATTAATCATTCGCAATTTGTTTCCATCAGCCAATGGAGAGCAGTTTTTCATCCACCTAAGAGTTTCTGATATATCATCTGTTATCTGTCTAACAAACCCACTCACTTGCCCTTCTGGAATAGATTCCATGGCTTTATAAATGGTGTGGATGAACTTATGTGAAGATAACAGCCTTTCGACTGATTCGGAATAAACATTATTAGACAGAAATGTCAATAACTTAGAAGAACTTTCTTCAGCATCACCATCCCAAGTCATAAGCCTTAGCGCTTTGCACAATGCTAGAATGGCAATTTGCACCTACATCATTTAACAGACAAAATGTGATGTTAGCTCAATAAAACCGTGACCATAACAATTATCTGTAAGACTTTCCCTGAACATCATTTCCCTTCACTCTGCCAGATGCTCATACCTAGAACTAGTGTGAGTTCCTGACAATCTGACATACAGTATAGTAATGAAACCACAAGAAGGACAAACCCATGCAAACCTCTAAAACATAAGTTGCTATAGGGATCAGAGTTTGGATACAAACCTGGCGAAGTTGACTGTAGAGATTAACTATTTGGCATCCCAAGGCAGGAATAGTTGAAGATAATGAGCTTCGATCAAAAGCACTTGCCATATTGCAATTGACGGTGGAGTATGATAACAAAATAAGCCATAAATTCACCAAATCTTCTCCAATAACCTCATATTCAATTTCCAAAAGGTAGCCCATTGCAACTAATATCTCGTTAGCGGATAAAAAAAATGTTTCCATCCCCATCACATCAGTTGTATCGCAGTTGGACAAGCAGAGTATACTAGTGGAACTAGCTATCAATGTATTAAATATTTTCTTCAAGAAATTGAGACAAGCTCCTCCAGATGTGTCCTCTGTTTTCACATATACTTTCTCTTGCATAAAACTAGCAAGCAAATTACCAATAGACTTTAGTATACCATAAAGATCAGAAAAAAGGAGCTTGGCATTTATTTTAGCTTGGAGAAAGGCATTCATCTCGAGCAAAAGAGGCTCCATAATCAGTACCAAAAAATTAAAAAGAGATTTTTGAGTATCTACAGAAATACTATTGGAGCTACAAGATTCTTCTGGCCTTGAATCATTTATTTTCTCCATTGTGTTGCTCCCTTCATGCAAAACTGAAGTTCCCCTGAACTTTCTCGCGGAATCGGCAAACAAGCGAAACATCAAACCTAAGCTGCCCATTGCTATAGCGTTCTTTCTGGATATAATTTTGTTCAGAACATCAAACAAATGTCTATGATAACTCTTAATGGTTGCTTTTGAATCTTTTGGTTTATCATCACATGAAGCGGCATACTTTTCTGAACCATGTAAGCTTAAAAATTCATCAATATGAACTGGATGAAAAAGTCCGTGAGAAATAACTTCTTCAACCACCTTCACCAATCTCCCTGTCCAAATGGGATCACTTCTATTAACCCGAAGATGCAACTCACCAGACAAATGCAACAATGGTTCAAGAAGTTTGTCCACAAAATTTTGAAATCCTTTTCTAGCTGGATGGACCCTCAAAAATTTGGAGAAGGGCTGAAGCACCAACCACAAAAAACGGAATACACAAGCACCCACACAGCTTCCATCAAGGTTCTTATCATACACTTTTAAGACAAGCTCAAGCACTGCCCCAGTTGTTTCAACCCATAAGTCCAAATTTTCATTTGACAACCCGCCATGGGATGAGAACACCAACGAAATACAATCAAGAGCAATATCGTATAGTTTAAACTTTTCCTCAGATTTAAAATCTTCTTCTGAACAAGTGGAGAAGTCCTCTAGTAGAGATAGAGCATTTTTGACAATAAATTGAACAGTCTGTAAGAGGTTCCGCGACATATTCAAAGAGACACGAAGCTTCAAAGACTCCTGCAAGCAGAACTTGAAAATTTCCCAACAACTAAGATCCATATATGCATCAATTCCATCAAGCTGGGGTGTTTTTCCATCACCCCAGTTTTCCTTCCCATTTGGAGGGAACAACACTGTCAGGATCCAATCATTAAGGTAACCTAGTAGTCTTGGTAGTTTTACAGCTTCACAATGCTGATCAATGTCAGCACCATCACCCACTATCGAACTCACAAAATTGAATGCCTGATTGACCTTACTGCACTAACACACAAAATAGTTTATATGGTGAGGGAATTCAAAACACAGAGTTGAAAGTATTCAATTACATGAAAATTTTGTTGCCTAATTCAAAATATAAATTAAAGATGGTTGAAAATAACCTGTGAAGATCAAGTTGTCTGTCTTGAATACACAGTATCAATTGAAGATTGTTCCATGGAGTGGAAGACCTCACAGGGTCCTGAGGCTTCTGAGCAGACTCCAAACGGTGCAGTTTGGAAGGTTTTTTGGGCTGGTCATGGATTTTCTGCTTTCGCTTACGTTTGTGAACCTTCGCGTTCGCTTCCGAATCCGCCATTGTCGAGTTTTAATTGAATTCAGAGGGTTTCTGAATAATGCGTGTAATGATAAACCCTACAGTTCAATCAAAATATTAAGGGTTTAAGCTCTTGTAACTAAAATCAGCTATGCAGAGAACTGAACAAACCTGAAGCACGGAGAGACGGAGAAGACGGAGAAGACGGCGAAAGGAAAAGAGGCACGCGACGGAAGCGGCGGCGGCGAAACACGAACGGCTACAGACAAGGTGTACGTTGAATGAGTGCAAAAAGTGAGGTGGCGGCGAGAACAAAAGGAGAGAGGGAGAAAGATGGGTGATTTGGTATGATAAATCTATTATAATATCTGTGGACTTGTGTGATCGAATGGTTTAAAATGGTGTTGCATGGTGCAACACTTAAGTGGTTTGTGCATATTATAAATCCCCTACGTTAAAATGTCGATTTAATATGTATATGTATGTTCTGCTTTGCTTTTTTTTTTTTTTTTGGTTTTGTCGGTATTTTTTGAAAGTTTTCTTCTTTCTTATAGTTTTATCATTGTTTTCGTCTCACTTATCATTTTCGATGTCACCCTTCTCTATTTCTATTCTCATATCTCTCTCATTTCTTCACACCAACATCTCTTCATCTCCTTCTCTATATTTGTTCCATCTCTCTCGTCTCATTCTTTTTTTTTTCTTCTTTGATCTCTCTTCCCATTTCTCTCATCTGCTTCAATCAAACAACCAATATAGCAAGGTCTTTTGAAATTATTAAGAATATCAATAATTTGAAGGAGCTCTGAAAATTAGCGGTCAGAATCCATCACAAATGGACGGCGGTCTCCAAGAATAAATAACGTTTCCTGATGATTATGATTAGCAAAGAGGTAACTGTCATGTTTTTAGGATTTATTTACATAAATCGTTGTTCTAGATTTTTTTTTATTTTAAGTTTTTTTTCACATTTGATGTTGATGATCCTTCCTCAAAAAATACTAGTTACCATGAAATAAGTTTGTTGGAATCAAATGTATCTGATTTTTTATTCACTTTTTTTGTATTAACAGATTATTTTTTGTTTGAAATGTATCATAAAATAGCTTATTTTTTTATTTAGGGTTTATTTACATAAAATGTTGGGATGGATATTTGTAGATTTAGGGTTTTTTTTTCAACTTTGATGTTGATGTTGATGGAAGTTCATTACAGAATATTGGAACATCAAAGATTCTAATCCTTTTTTTTCAACTAAGATGCCAAGACCGATAATGTCAAGAGCATCAAAGATTCAAATGAGTTGTGGAAACTAGTGTAACACCCCAATTCTACCCCGGCAATTATATAAATAAATCAGAGTTATAAAAATAATATCAAGCAAACGAATCAGGATACCACAAATTCTTCTATCAAAATTCATTGCATTCATCGTGGATATATAACACTTTTAAAACATCGAATGAACCATCATCATGACATCTTTAATTAAACAATTCAACATCTACGCAGCTGAAATTCTTAATAACATGTCTATCATCATTACAGGAACTTCAAAACAACACAATTTAATAATAATCAACTTAAAGTTCAACGACTGAATAATCAACAATCAAAAGCAACAAGCGTTCATCCTCCCGAGTGTTACATATCAGAGCAATGATACTGACTCAAACTATTGAAGGTATACAGCCTTCACTCTCGATTACCTGCACATTACCAACATAAGGGCAACATTCAAACAGAAGGAGTGAGATATCTAACAGTATAATAAAGCACATGATAATTAATATATTAAATTAGATCACATAACATCACCACTTCTCATCTTAAAATCAACAATAATAATAATCACAACAATAATACACATTCGCAACATCAATACACGCTTATTTATGCAATCATATAATACAACTCAAGACTATGCAAATGCACGTGGTACCATTTGGAGCAGAACTCCCATCTCAAAAATTTGCCAATTAACATAGACATCAACAAGGCATAAGCCTTCATCTCAATATTCGCCAATACAGGCCATCTCAATGAGCATAAGCTCCATCTCAAAATGCAATGTATGCGACATAATCATGAATGTAATAACAACATCACAATTAACAACATCTCAATACATCATCATCATTGACCAAAGGCCTACATCTCAAAAGCATCACAACATCTTTTCATCAAACATCTCATATCATTCATAATAATTAATCAAACATCATTTATTCATCAAACACAACTTCATTAATAACATCTCATCAACAACTCAGTTGTACATTAATACGACAGTAATTCACACCGGTATTCTGTAATCTTACATCATTATTATCATTACTCCTACTGTTACAAATCAAACAACAGCCTATAAACATTTCATCCTCATCATTCTGCACAAAAAACCAACATAACGATCAACACGGAAACTAACTCTAAATCCTAAATTGGCTACTAGGATTACACTTCATATTATTCATTTTAATCCTCTAGAATAAAGTTCATCACGTTAGCTATTCAACGTTTCAAACCGCATCTCAAACGGCATCCTAAAACTTAAGTTACAGCATTTATAAACTGAATCTGCCAAAAACCAGACAACATGGGTCGACGCATAACTCCTTGGATCGACACGTACTGCACTGAACTTGCAACATGAGTCGATGCATTCCCTCATGTATTGACTCATCCTGAGTCAAACACACAGTATGTATCGACACATGCCCCTATGGATCGACTCATCCTGATTCTAAAAGCACTCATGTATCGATGCAAAACCTCTTCGTGTCGATTCATACTGAGTCTCAAAACCTTCTTGTATCGACATATAGCATTTGGGGTCGACGCATCCTGTTACATCCTGCATAATTCTGCGATTTTCTCTGCGTTTTCACTACGGGTTATATACTTTAAGCCCTAAAAACTTAATCTAATCATAGATAATCATCACTTACAATTATCCTATAATTCTACATCGATCAAACAACATCGGGACATCATTATTCATCTAAAATTCATTAATTCTTCATCATACAACATCATATACATTCAATTCAAGAATAAGACAGCAATCATCTCTAACCTCACATACCAATTATCATGAACCCAACTATAGAGTCAGAACCCCACCCTTACCTTGGATTCAAGGTCGCTCTATAATCTTCCGGTCGAAACCTCGTTCTCCCGTTTTTCCTGTTTTTCCAGCAGCTTCACGTTCTTCTTCTCAATCCTTATTCTTCTACTGTCTCTTCTTTTCTATTCTTTCTAACAACAATAAAATAACCTATTATTCGTTATTCATTATTGGGCTTAAAACTAATACACCCCCTTATTACTTCTATTCCTTAAAAACAAGCCCATATCAATAATATTATACTTCTAATATTATTTCACCACTTAATAAAATAATTAAATCCAATTAATTACAACATATCTTCTCAAATATTCCAAAATAATTTAATCAAATAATTAATTAAATTATGGGTGTTACAACTAGCGGTATTCTTGTTGACAAAGAGGTAAGTCTCATGTTGTTAGGGTTTATTTACATAAATCGTTGGGATGGAAATTTGTAGATTTAGGGTTTTAGTTACATTGTTGATGTTGATGATCGTTCATCAAAGAATACAAGTTTTATGACTTTATATTGCTAGATTAAACAGATGATGCTAGATACTTTGTTGGTTGTATATGTTTTATGTGTAGATAGTCAATGTTTTTTGTGTATTTTTATAGATAAAATTGATTTAGGTCTTAAATCTTTAATCTGACAAAGTTTATTATTTACAATGACTATCTTGGAATATATCATCTAACACTTTCATGTTTACGTATTTATGTTTCTTGGTTGCCAAACGATTGACTTCTTTTTCGTTTCAAGGAACAGATATACATTGCAAGATGATTAAGTGGAAGCAAAGCTTGGGATAAGCATGGGTGAATACTACATTATTAAGGTTGGACACAGTTTTGAACACTTATGTAAAGGTATGGTTGATCTAGATTTTAGCACCAGCTAAATTTCCTGTGAGATTTGTATTATCATGGTGTTTATGATAGGTGTAATACGGTGGGAGAACTGACTTGGATATTTTGCGTTTGATTGCAATTGTTGCGGATAGCAAGAGTTGTCATCGACTTTTCTTTTATCCAACAAAGGAAAGGTTGAAAAAAACAGGAAAGACCTTTCGAGATTATTTCTTGAGTTCAGGGGGTAGATTATGAAAAGGGAAGGTGTTAGCATCCTTTTCATCCACAGTTATCTATGGGCTCTTAGTTGCTCGCTAGATCACTTTCTTTTGTTTGAAAATGTGCTTTGTGATATGGGTTTGAAAGTATTTTGAAAACATTTTTGTAATGATTCTCATTTCTATAAGAATGCGTACAAAGTGTTGGTTTTGAAAATAGTTCAAAGAAGTGTTTATGGAATGTGTTTTTGAAAGTGATTTTGAAAAGGGCCTTTGTAATGATTCTCGTCTCTATAAGAATGCGTACAAAGAGCTTTGTCTTTTGAAAATGTTTCAAATGAAAGTGTTGATATGAAAATGATTTTTTTTTGTCGTGAGCAAGCGAGCAACTATGAGCATCCTACCTACTCAAAAGGTCTAAGTTCTTCTCATCCTCCTTTAGATGTTGTTATCTTACCATTGATTGATAAGAAGCCTCATCGTTGGATGTGAAGGGACGGGTGTGGGTCGTTTGTAAAGTCATAGAAGGCAACCTATGGGACGTTTTAACAATGTCTTATTGGGACTAGATCGTTTAACAAAGACAACATCAAGGGTCATCGAGGGACTATGATCTTTTATCGAGGGTCTTTGCTAAAACACCCATATTCGTGGGACATGACTATTTTTCCGAGGCAACAAGTGAGATTATCCTAGAGGTGCATGTGTGTGAATTGTGTGTTTGATTACATGTATTTTTTGTCTTTGATTAGGGTAGTCTACTTGTTAGTTTTATCTTGTCATACATCCTAATTACTAACATTTGTATAAAGTCATAAAAATGCAGAAAATAAATATCCTACACTAGTACAACCATAT